TTCACAGCTCATTTTGGTATAATTTTTATCCATAATTTTTAATTATATGTTGATATATTAGACATATTATTCTACTTAAAAAGTGGGTAATAAATTCATATATGCTTCATTACTTTTTTTAATATCAACAATAAAGTGTTAGTTATTGCACTATTGTATCTGCTTTTTAAAAGATATAGTAGAGTTGAATCTATGTTATATTATGCAAATGCTTCTCCTATTTGCATAATCTGTTATATTATGCAAATAAGAGAAGTATTAATTGCTAAATTTTATACTTTTAAACATTTAATACAAATTATATACAGTAATGTAATAATTATATAAAGGTTTCTATGGATAGTGTCAGACTTATTTAATAAGATTCCTTTGTCTGTTATGTTTTCCTAGTAATTTTGAATTTTCTCTGTGTGTCCTTGACCATTAAAAGCTGATGTTTTCCATCAGTTTGATGTGATATAGCGCCCTCTATTTGGAATGTTTACACAGGCTTATCAACTGAGTAATGATGAGATTCGCCTCCATTATTGTGGAGTTGACCTACCAGCATGCTCAGCCAATCAGAGAAATAGAGTAGTATGCAAATGAGGAGTAATATTCAATAAATCAAAATAAGATTATCTTAGGTTGAAGGATAGACTAGTCCATTTTTTATGGGGAATGTTTACTTTTGAAGATAGGAATTTTAATCATTCCTACCCTTTTAATTTATTACATGAAGGTGTATGTAGTGATGTTTGAAAAAAGGATTTGAAAATAATGTGTTTCCATGAGAAAGATGATTTGACCAGGAATACACAATAATAGTACCTTGAAATTTCATATCAGTGTTCTATTATTAATTATGACTTTAATGTGTTCACATCAACCATTCTGTAGTTTAGGCCCTATTAAAAATATATTAGTTTATCACCCTCGCATGCATGTCTTCTGTGGTACTTGAAAAAAAAAACATACTTTTGAAAATGTTTTTTTTCCCCATTTTTTATTATATAGCTAGTAGATATTATTTGTATTATCTCAATCATATTTTACTTAGAATATCAATGCACCAGCAAACAATACAAGGGTGATATTTGGCTTTAGCAAAAAAAAAAATTCCTCCCTCATCACTTTTCCAGCCTAGATAAGGTGATAAACTAATAATATTTTTATAGGGCCTTATTTATACTGTTTTCCTTGAATCTGAGATGTGTAATATGGTTTTTTTTTTGTTTTTATGAACCTTGGTAAACAAAATTTATTATATTAAAAATAAATTAAACATGAACTTCAAACTAGAAATGTTTTTTGTTGAAATCAAAAGACTACAGTGCTACTCAAACAAGCCACTTTATGCTTCAACACATTTTTGTCTGGAAATTCTCACAAAAGAGTGGCAGTGTTGGATTTGCTTGAGCACTGTCACAGCTGTATAGGAGCATTGCTTCAGTGTCGGTATTGTGCGATGCACACTTAATTTCTTTAGTAAAATGTGGTTGTGTATTCAGAGCGGCCGTTAAAATGAATGCTCAATAGTCTTCTCATTAAAGTTAGTACCATTGTAGTTTTCTTGTAGGAGTTAGCATCCTAGAGTAGTGTTCTCTTTGGTGTTATCGCTGTAGTAGTCTCCTCGGAGTTAGCGCCTTAAAAGTTTTCTTGTTGGAGTTAGGAACTTAATAGTTTTGCTATGGTTCAAAAGAAGTTCAGCTTAATTTAAAATTACAAAGAACTAATTAACAACCATTTTATTCATTATCTTCGTGAATGAATTAGCCTTTTCCTACAACTAATGATTGAAGATAAGCCAGAAAAATCAAATCAGCAGGAAGTGGTTATTACCACTGTAAACACCTCAAATCTAATTTTCTCGTCTTTGAGCTTGGTGAGTAGAAAGAGCTTTTATCCTTGTTGTGTTTGTATGAAAAGCACTTAAAAATATGGAAAATAAAAGTAAAGTAGTGAAGGTTGGAGGTTAAGCAACTGCTTGCATTTTAGCATAATGGGAATTTCTCTTTCATTGGTATTACCACAAAATTCAGTTGCTTTCAAATCAAACTACATCCAATTGTCTAGTAAGGCTTAACTTTATTTCGTCGTTAAGGAATACTTGCATTTTGGAACAACAAAGTACTGTACATACCTAGAATTTACATCAATTTCATTACTGTATATATAAGATTGTATGTGTATCTTTCATACAAATCAAGTTATTTGACATAAACAAAATCTATATCATTTCTAAATGAAAAGGAAAAAAGAATTAAAAATCAATGTGTTATAATTCTTTAAGTATTATATTGTTGAGATTCACCTTTGTTAAAATATTTGTGTGCATCATTTTAATTATAAATTGCGCCACCTATGGTAGGCATTCTAAATGTTACTGCATTCACAGACTGAAAAATAAACATTAAAATTTAAAATTCTCAGTACATTATTTGAAGTGTTTGTAAATGGATTTCATTGTGTTTGTTCATTTCTTTGTGTATTTGAATAGTAAAGAGCATTCTGCATAATATGGTAGCGGTAGTGTGTAGAAATTTAAATAGTAATATCCAAGAGTGGTGTTTGTGGTAATGAAAATAATAATTTTAATGCCTACATTATATTGGATTAATATTTATTCTATAATACAAAATCTCTCGGAACTAATGTTGCAGTGCCACCAAACATTCCTTACATTGGATTTTTATGCTTTAAATATTTTGATTGACGATTGATAGATTGATTGATTAAGTCTACTTTTGAATGGAAATTTTGGCAGGGTCTTTAGGGAATGACAGCTGACGCAGTGTAATGCTCTACCGATATGAAATGGATTGTCTCTTATTCTGCCCTGTTTACTTGTAAGTGATGATGTAGGGTCTTCTATTTGAATGCAATGTCATTGACTTGATGGTCATTAACCTACCTCCATTGTTAGATAATTACAGATACTATCTCCAATGTATGGGATGTGTGCATGCTAATGATGTTTGTTAGGACAATTAATTTTGGTGGTTTTATTCAAGTGGGCAATGCAATTTTTATTCTGCTGACACCAATGTAAAGGGTCAGTGACGATGTTGCATACTGTATTTTCTATCACTTGTAATTATTATTTTTTGCTAAGAATCTCTTTCCACAAATTTTTCAATATCAAATCGGAGACTTTATTCCAATGTAAGTATAGCCTTAAATATACATAAAATATTTAGTTATCACTTTGATAATAACACTTGAGCATTCTTTGCTTTATTCATATCAGGTAATAACTGTTTAAAGTTAATATGAGAATAAGTTGAGCTATACTAATTGAGTGAGGAACTGTCCAGAGATGCCAAGGTGGCCTGTAAAAATGCAAGACATCTTTTATTTGATATCTTCTGTTTGTACTTTTCTCCATGTGTGAACCACTACAAAATAACAAAGAATTTTAACCTTTTAATAAAAATTGCTTAATAGTTGCAACATGGTCTCAAAAAATGTGATTATTTATAGAGAAAGATGGTATGAATATATTTATGCCATTAAAATACAATGTAATAAGCGATTAATTAATTCAAGTTGATGATTCAATGTTGCAATGAAAACAGTTGAGTAATAGGATTGATTGGCTTAATATGTATTTAATTGAGAGGAAGTAATACACTTCTTATTTAGAGATTTCATGTCAGTAGCAGCAGGCAAAAGATAAATTTTTCTAAAATTTCAATTTTTTTCATGCTTGAAAATTAACATTTTTGCGTTTATTCATTATTGAAGGAGGGAGGGATAAATATTGGTATTGCTTAGGTTATGATAAAAATCTCAACTTGTTCACTGGAATTGAAATCAGGTCATTGGGATTGAAGGGCATGTATTTAACTAGGCGCCAAAGCTCCACTCGCAAAGCCTTTGTATATCAACATGTAATATGGAAAAATTATTTCAAGTTCACGCATTGATATTGTGGGTTTTTAGCCATATTTTTTCTTAGGATTTATGTTGGATTAAGATGTGTACTTAATCTGCCTTCCTGTGTTCAATCCAGCAGCAGTTGGAAGCTTCCTGTTCAGTGTCTTTGTTGTCCTGATTTTCGTAAATGTGTATTTTCAATAATCTTAGAATATATGATGACGTTTATCTAGCTTTTTACAATGTATGATAGAACTGGGTAAAGTTTGTTTTTGTATTCGAGACAAATAGATCATATAAGGGTTAGTATAGTAAAGTGATATGTCCTTATTTTAAGATCGATGAAACCAAAATCCAGAGGGAAAACGAATGATTGATTTTGACAAGAAAAGTGAAATGATGAATAGTTATTGATGACTTTCGTTAAATATAACGGTACTCTTGATGGGTAAATCAGATGAACATTTTTAGATTAATGTCAATTTTTTGGTTGATATATTTTTCAACCTAATGCACTAGCAAGGTTATATAGTAATATAATATGATAAAAATATTGAACATTTTGCATTGATAAATTCTAACAACACAAAAGATTTTTTTTTTAATGTGATTGTTTAAAATGAAGACTAACTTACAGGTAAAATATTGTAGTTTAATATTTCTAGTTGTCAATTAAATTTTATTTATTTTATGTTAATATATATTTTGATTTTACATACTATTTATTGTTTTATTGTAGGCTTATTTCTTAAAAAGTATCTAAATTTTCATTTTCTTAATTTGAATTTAGATATTGATATTCATTTCTTTCGAGTTTTGTTTTCTTCGTAGATTATTGATTCCCAACATTACTAAGGCTGAGTACGTATCCAATTCTTTTCTAAAGGACTATATAGCATGGTGCCCATGCTAATAGAGTAACTACCAATTAACAAGAATTATTTTAAGGCAACTCATTATGTTCTGGCACCTAAATCTACTTCGAAACTATTTAAATAATCTCCTTATTCCAAGCTATGGGTGCTTGTTTACATTAGCTGACTACTTAAGTTATTATTCATCCCTGCCACGGATAATGGACTGTTCCACAAGCCTGGAAGAGGCTTAGCCTTGGCATGGTAAGGGCTATGGTAATTGGTTGGTATTCCCTTTGTCAATATGCTAGGCAGAATTGTTAGACCTGTTCAATAAAGCAAGGGCAAATGGCCTGCAGGAAATCAGATTGTTGGAACTAGATGCAATACAACCACTGTGAGCGCGCTCGAATGCAAATGCACTGTTGGAGCACAACAAAGGAAACCTCGAACACATTTCACATAGAACAGTTTCACCTCAATCTAGAGTGCCTTCACTTGTGAACTTCAGGAAGAAAGATGATTTAATAGCATATGCAAAGACACAAACGTTACTTACTTTTTTGCAGGGTTTCACACAGGCTAGATGTAAGTAGAAAACAGTAGTGTTATTTTCCAAGCTGCACTTTAAATCTCCAGGCCCTGTTGTTATGTCTTACGTTGTGCCTAGGCAGGTCATGGTGGCCGTAACCATTCTGTGTATGGTTAGTTCATTCCCTTTATTTTCGGACCAAAACATAGCTATCGAATGAGCTATTTGGCATTGCTGTTTTGATGTGTGGTACATATAAAGTATTGTATTGTATTGTATTGCCTTTCTGGTGACTTAACTATCATCAGCAAGTTGATGTGATCTATGATTAGTGTTTAATCACATCAACATGTGCAGGCCCATAGCGTGATTAATTTGTGGGAGGTTCTTTTCAGTGGAAAGTGAACCCTTTGGAAACCATTAGACAATAACGTAATATTGTTAGCTGGGAAAGCTTAAGAAATGCCGAGTTCAAATACTTTTGGCTTGTATGGTCTCCGATTCTGTGGCGAACATTCTAAATATATCTACGAATATCAATTTTTTGTTTTTAAATGCGGACCTTATCCAGTTTTTCGGCGGTTCGTCGTAACCCCCTTAACCACTGCACACTACGGGCCTGATGTGTTTTACCACGTTTTACTTAGCTGGTTCTTAAGAAATATATATGGTGGGCCTACAAATTTTTTATAATTCTAAGAAAATAAGGGTGATATTTTTGTTTGCAACTTAGTAATTATTGTGTGCGGTATCTAACACTGAAAGATGTTCTATACTGTTTTATTTTCATCATAATGTAATATGTATGTATGTACGTACGTATAGAGACTATATATATATATATATATATAATATAGGCAGTATTAATATAATCTATCTTGAAATGTTATATGATAGTCCTAGTATATTAAATAGGTCACATGCTATATAGTCGAACATGAGTGCTTTCATCAATATTGTTTATGAGTTTTCCATGGAAGGTTAATAACATTGCTAGTAAATTGATTCTCTATTTAATAATTCATATTTTGTCAGAAGAGTTCTTAAGGAGTCAAAGCTTAGAGATATATATTTTGACTTGTCATTAAAAATGATTTTTGTCATTATAACTTGCAATATCAGGAAAAACATGATTCATAAGAAAATGAAAATACATTCATCATAAAAATATCATTCATTTAATACCTTATTTCAGAAAACATTTTTATCAACAAAATTAAGGAAACATACAATTAAACTAAGCATCTGGGGGTCATTTAAATTCTAATAAATAAATGGACACACACTTCTAGCGACTTCTTACAAGTGATTTTTGTAGTCATGTTGTGTAACATTCAATAAATTCTGATATAAACAAGTTTCTGTACTCGGAGTTGCAATATTGTGTTAAAGGCTCATACAGTGAGTATATCCGGACTGATAGGATTTGATTAACACAGTTTAATAGGAAAGGTGTTGAACAGAATTTAGTACAAATTAAATAAACTAAATCACTCAATTAAGTATATTTGCACTGGAATTGGTTGTCTTTAAACATTTACTGGAAGTGGTGGCCTTAATGCCAACTCAGGCAGTGTTGTACGACACAGACTGACTCGATTTATCGTTGGGGATAGCCTTTTGGCCGTCGTGAGAATATCTTGTTCAATAGCCTGTGATGCGACTGCCTCTTGCACGTACATACTCATCGCGGCAGATGTTAGGTAGTGGTACTGTCCGATTCATCCGCAACATTTGAGTCTTATTTATGCTGGAGAATCTACCCAGTTATGCTTTGTTATATGAGCTAGTTGTGAGTTACAGTTGTTTATTTTTTCTTTTATCTGTTTGCTTATGTCTGGTTTATATTTTTGTGTATTTCATTCTCATCCAATGAAATATATTATCATTGCTTCCTGTTTATGTAATTAATTATTCTTACATTCATGTATTCAATTAACTCCTGATTTTCAATTATTTTGTTTTTCATGATTTATTAAGACTAACTATAACATTTATTAGCTCTAGCTTTCATCCACACTGTGTAATAAAAGTGCTATGTCATTTCATTCATTTTTCTAGGTATATAGCCCTTTACAAGATATTAGGAATTTTTTTAACAAAAACCAAATCATCTATAAATTTGAGCCTCTTTAATATAAAACTGTTATCTTGGTTGATGTCCAAGTTCTTCATCATCTGTTTTAAGGCCATTCATTAAATGCAAGCATGATTATAGCTTAGTAGATAGTACTAGCAACCACCAACAATTTAATGTAATTTTCTACACAAAAAAAAAATTGAAGCTCTGATAACTTTGGCGCTAATAGTACTAGCTGGCACGTCTTATGCCAAATGACTAGGGCTATTCTAAGAAATCAACGCAAACCTGTTGATTTTTGGACTGGTGTAAAAAATCTGTCAGTATAAGGACGACTAGTCGGTTGTGAAAATGGAAATTTCTGTTTGTCAAGACAGTGTTTACATAATTTGCATAATATTTACATAATTAAATATTTTTCAAGTAACTAAATCCAATTGATTTAAGTATAGAATTTATTCAGTGTATTTTTGAACCATTATGTATATTGTTTGTAAATTGAAATTAACACATTCATTTTTTTATATATTTGACAATTGGCAGATTTGACAATATACATGTATTCACTATAATATAGCCTGCCTCAATCTATTCATATTTTCCTGCTGAAGCCCTTTGAATTCCCTTTTTCTGGAAAACCAATAGAGTATGGTACATAAAGATGTTGTCATCATGTCAGTTGATTTAAATGATTATAAACAAACATGCTTGGTTTATATATATTAAATTTTACATTAGAATTGAATAAATTATAATTTTTTTTAGCAATTCAAATTTAGCTTAAACATACAAGAACGGATTCTGCAAACACCCTACATTAGCTTGTAAATTTGAAGTTGACTGAGTCCTCTGTCTGACTTCAGCGAAGTGACGCCAAGAACACCCTAGAGCTATCATTTGTAAGCGAAAGCTTTTCAGCTAGTGAATTGAAATAAAGCCCAAGAATGAACACGGAACAATGAATAGAATATGCATATTTTTCAAAGTAGATTGAGAAACTCAATAATTTTATTATAAATAACCAAAGCTAAGATATTTTGCAAAAGATAACAAGAAAATTGGTCTGCATACATGTACAGTTTACTGCCAATCAAAAAAAATAAAGAAAAATCCACCAAAAATTTAAGTAAAACTTATACCAGTTTATTTACTTATCAAGTTTCTATTAGTTTATACTGATCAAAATAATTAGTTTTGAAATAGACATTCTATGAAAATTCTTTAAATTTCCTGTGAGAAATTTAGATGTGCTGTATACTGTAGGCCATGCAAAGGCTGTAAGAAATAGAAATTGTATTGTAGCAACTGGCAGACATTTTTCTAGCTCTGAGCATTATTTGAATTAATTTTATTCGCTGACAAAAAAATTCTGGGGACCTTGAGTATTCAAAAGCTTAGCCCTAGGAGAGCCTTGCTACTGAGATGCTATACAAAAATTTGGACATCCTGAATTACAAATTTTCTCAATTACGAATGCTGTTTCAAGGATGGACATGGGGTACAAAATTAGGAGGTGTTACATTAGGCCTTCATTAAAAAATCCAGACAATTTATGTTTGGTAGTGCTTACAAGAAAACAGTTACCATGGAGGTACATCAGTGGTGTTTGAGGAGGAATAAGAAAACATGGTAAACAGTAATGCAGGTATTGCATTTAACTGCTACTGTGGAAAATTACTAATGTAGAAGGAGAGGAAGTAGATAGCACCTTGGACATAAGGTTTACAGCCTCAGAGATCCTGTTTTTAAAAGAGGATTGCTTTGGTAAAGAACAGGTACTACGGCTCCTTTATGGGTTCACTATTACAATGATTATAGTAAGCTGTAGTCAAATAAGCTAAAACGCTAAGCCTAGAAAAATACACAGGTATTAAGATACAGTATTGTGGTCTCTTGCCTTAAACCTGTGCATTGTTCTCTTATAATCTATGAGTGATTCTCCACGCTTTGTTTTGTGCTGTAGTAAGAAGGATATCAGAGGAATTAAAGAATATTCTTATGCTACCTGGTATGAGAAACATGACATCTGTTGTCAGCAGTTCTTATACAATTGAGTTCTTAGAAATAGGATTTCATTTAAGAATATTGAAAGCTTTATTGATGTTTAATGTTTACATTTTCACTAGAATTAAATTCCGATCTGTAAATACCAGCATGTAGTAGAATGAGATGGTTTCTTACCATAAAATGGCTATTTGGCATCTGTACCATTATCATGTTCTGATACCGAAAAGTCAAAGCTAACCCCAATATGGTCAGTCGCCAGTAAAATACCTTTGTAACTAACAAGCTTCCATCTTAATATATAAACTCAAATATTCATGTTTGAAAGTTCTCACTAAACTTGTCAAAAACAGTTGCATTCCAGGTGTCACTTGTGCATTTATTAGTGTACAGGTATCATTATGTAGATGCAAACAACGAAGCATAATAAACAACAGCGAATTTGTATGCAAGACTCGGTGGAACCTATGTTATTATATCGTATCAAGTGACAAAATTGGTTAATTTTCAGAATATAGGGGCCTACTAAGCCTTGTCAAATCATCGTTACTGAATGTGTTAAAATGTATGTTGGTATTTGGATTAATATATTCATGGATATTAATGTTTAACTTTTGACTAAAAAGTAAGCAGAAAAATGTAGATATGTCTGCACACAAACAGAATTTTGATATGATCGTTGTGTTAGAAGACTAAATATGCAAAACGTTAGAGAAGCATCTTATGAGAGTGATTTTATTTATTTAAAATCTTTGATAAATTATTCTTGGTTGTATATAAGCCTAGGATTGTGGTCATTTAGGCCTAGGATAGTGGTCATTTGATGTGTAATATTCTGGCAGAAATATGGGAAGCAGGGAGTGAATGCAGTGACAACAATGGTATAAAGAGGAAAAAGTATGAAGGAAGATAGTGGCAGAGGTGCCTTGAATAAAGATGTTACTGCTTAAAGATGACTATGAATATATTAGT